TAATTTCAGACGTTGGTTATACTGCTGAGAGCAATTATATTGTGTTTTATAGTCTACCAGTGTTGAAACCTACATAATAAAGAGATATATCTAAGAGAAATAAAAAGAAAGAGGCAACCAGTTACATTGATCAGGCTTTATTACTGTTCAAAATTTGTAAATCATCCAAAGAGGTACTGGAAATATTGTCCACATCTATCACTTGTACCTCTCTAATTTTATCAGAGTGTACTCCTTCAAATGAAGGAGTATCTGAAAGAATGTCAGGCAAAGTAGGAGATGTTGACCTAATAAAATGACAGACATAGAGTATATGCACTCTCAAACTATCTATTTTCCTTGCTTTTTGTCAGGTTGAGGCATTTTTTTCTTAATTTATCTACTGACATAATATTATGTATGACTAATACATTTGAGTTTTCCACAGACCAATTTCCGGCAACCCTTGTGGTAGTGAGGTTTACCTCGTGGGAAACCTCTGTGGTAATCCTCACTGTGGGAAACTAGGGAGTTTCCACTCGTACTCTAACCCGTAAGCATCGCCGAGGACGATTACATAATAGCACCGCGTTGCTGTGCGACTACTGCGCACTGCGCAGCGTTTAAACTGTCCTCCTTTGCGGCCGCCACTAGCACGTTATCAGTGGCAAGGTTCTGAAGCCAAGAGATTCTCAGGGAAGAAATAAACCTTGCGTGGGTCTTCCGTGTGCTAAGTTATTTTCCTAGCAGCTGTTTAACCTTATCATATAATAATGTAATAATCCACAGCATCGAGCAGCTATTCATGAATTACTACAGTAATGCTGTTGTAAAGCAGGAGACAGAATGGTCAGTGAGTATGGCATTGCGGGACAGGCAAAAACACGATCTTCGACATCCTAATACCATACAAAGGCATACAGGATTATAGGCATTTATGACTTGTTCCTAATCACACCTGAGACGCATTCTCAGAGCCTCCGGCATTGCTAGTGCTAACTGCAGGATGGTTAGAGTAGGAATACTTTATACACTAGATTGTACATTACCTTCGCTTCCAGCCGGTTGTTCAAATTCAATGTCGCTCGCGGATCTCATACAATAGCTTGTGCCTTCGTTAACCCCCAACTTCCCAGCCTCTTTCATGTTGAAGATTAGTCGACTGCCTAGGATGCTTAGCAGTGACGGGCTTCCGGCTTGTTCAAGGAGAGTCATTAAACTGTCGTTCTTTATGGACACTTCGAACTCCAAGATGTTTAGGACGCAGCAAGATACCACACTGTTTAGAAACATCGGTCAGCGCTAGTCTCTACCATTGTTCTACCACAACTCACAGAAGGAAATATATCATCTGATCACGGATGAGAACTTCAACTAGCTTGAAACCCTTAAGCCCAGCTTCCATTCTCCAGAATTCTGCAGCTTTGTGCATTGCGAGTAACATAAGGATAACTCCGTACACCATTGGAATAGCCCTGCATTATGTCAACCACTGACTGGCCCAGAATCAGATTCTTCGTACCAGCTAATAATGCCCAGTGTTAGGTTTTGAGCTTGTGCAGAACAGACCGAAATATTCTCTGCTATTGATTCGGGGGTAGCTGTGTACTGTATGGCAGTCAGCTGTCTACCTAGTAAATGCAACAGACTCACGCTGCTCCAACCACGTTCCATAAACAAATATACCGAATTTAACAGCAACCTCTAAACCGAGGAGGGCCATGAGGCAAATTGAAAGAAATTTCGCTATGGAAATGTCAGTTCAGAAGTACCTTTGGATGCATTGTACATACGACGTGAGTACAGTGCCAACTTGAAGACTCGAATTGTGAGAATATCTGCAGGTTGATGATTAGTAAAGTAAGCATCAGTAACTGAGAAGATGAAGTTTATCTTACAATCAATTGATGCTATAGCTATCCAATCTGAGAGGTTCATTAGTGCTGAGTCCAGTTTGTTACTTAATGACAAACAAGAGATGCTGATTGTCCAGACAGAGAATTTGCCTGAAAAAGGGTTAGATGACAGGTGTAAGTCTTACTACACCGATCCCTCACACCTGTGAATTTTGTTTAAGTAAGTTAAAAAAAATTGGGCTGTTCTACTCACATGTTAATGTTGATATTTAGTCCTTCCACTGAATACAATATGAGCCTGTCAGCAACACATATGCAAGTATTCTGTGATACTTACACAACACATGCAATATTGCTCCAATAATGCCAATATACCGATTCTAGACTTTCTCAGGTAAAGTAGTTAATAGTTAATCGGGAATGCAGCCAACAAACCAGAAAATAAGCCAAATTGACCGGCTTCTTGAGTGGGCGTCCCTGTACAGCATATCATTCAGTCAGACTAAAAGAATAGATAAATGAGGTAGACACAGTACCCAGAAAAATTCGATCTGTCATAATGGCTGCAGTCATTAATATGTGTAACTGTCCAAGAATGACACACCTCTCTATCCAGTGTAACAACTAATAAACAGTCAAAACAGATACTTACTAATATGCTACAGAAGTAAAACATACTAGTATCATAAACTAAAAGGGTGACAATTGCAAACTGCCAATATTGTTCAAGTGTAATTATTGAAATAATAGTTATAGCCTCTGAGTTGTCTCTGGTCAAAAGCCACATTTGAGTAATAGTTTGTACAGTGTGATAGACTGATAGTAAGGCTGGAAGGACCCTCCGCTTTATAGCATTCAGTCAAATCTTGTTACAATATTGACACAGTAATATTGTGTTACTACCACCAGATGCATCTTGTGTCCTTGCCATGCCAATGATACAGGGATCAGTATCATACTGTACTTCTGATGTAGGTGCAAACATACAGTCACAATGTAATACAGAAAAACAAAGCTTGTCACAAATATGGTAAATACAAACATACAGGACATGTGTCCCAAATTATCTCTATAAAGTAAGGGAGAAAAGCCATGGGTTATCAAGTTGATATTGTATAGAAAACTCTGCTGACCTATATTTATGGATCCTTGATTGAGAAACTGACAAATGCTATTCACTTTTCATTCTTCTAAGAATTCATCAGTAACAGATGTAGAGTATTACATGGATAATGGGAACAATCAAGCACTAATAATGATTGAACAGAAGCTCGGACCACCAAGAATATTAATTGCCATATAAAGTCGCCTCATTGCTATGTTCAAAGGAATCTGACTGAGCAAACCTGTCCAAACTACTATCACCTGTGAGTTCTGTAACATTGTGTCTCCATTATCCATCTATCACTACATGTTTGCTACAGTTGCTATACATAAAATACCTCATCTTTGATGACCAGTCAAACTGTATATTACTGATCTGTTGTCTTGTACCCTTGTTTACTTAGAGTCTCCTGGCTTACTTCCGGTTGAACAGTATCTGGGGTGGAAGCAAGGCATTAGGCAACAAGTACGTATGCGAGGAGCAGTAGACTGAAAGGGAAAATGGGTTTAATGGCTCGAGATTGACAATGTCTTGTTGGCGTGTAAGTAACTAAATAAACCGTAAATCATACGCATATAGTCAAAACAGCCAGATAATCGTACCTAAATCTCGGTCTCGAACGATCCAGTTGCAACATGACCTGCTGAGGATGACGAGTTCTGCACTCAAAGCTCTGTTTCTTTCACGCCTGGGCTTGCACTAGCGCCAGCATCAAGAGTCTGCTCCATCACCTCTACAACAGCCTCATCAAAGCTGTGCATCAGTTTCACCCACATCAAGATCCCATCCAACTTCCTCCAGCACCACATCATCCACTACTTCCTCATCTCGTGCCCAGTCATCTAGAGCAGAAGATGCAGCAACACCACCAATACCATTTATGTAAGGCACGTCTCGTCTGCTTCGAGATGACTATTGGCGAATGCACGATTGAAGAAGCTTTCATCCTTCCCAGCGATGGCCATGTCAAAATCTGTAACTGAAGTGACGACGGGAGGCAGCATCAATGTGGAAGACCCGAAGTCTGGAATATCATCTATGTCTGCTTCAATAATCCAATAACTGCCTTTTGCCATGGGCCCATGACTCAAACGTTGTCAGAAGAGCAGGGAATCATGTACCACTGTACATCAGCGACGCCAGCCATGTATGGATAGGCACTGGTGATATCTGCACAACATGCAGAAAAATCTTGTACAGAATATCAAAGGGCAGGGCATGTGCACTGTGCACACCAGAGCTGGGCAAACATTATGACTAGGTCTGAGCAAAAAAACCACGACAAAGCATTAGAAATGAGGTTCTCTATAAGTTATGTTAGGTACAAGTGTAAGGTATCAGTATGAAGAACTCACCTGCTTTGTAAGGATTGCTAGTGGGAATGTTCAGGATGCAGCTGCAAGGAATCGTTGCTGGCAGAGTATGTGACAGTTTACAGGTCCAGAAGCGCTGATTTTTTATAGTTGCCACAGCCACTTCCCTTCCACACAGAATGCTCTTGTTAAAGTGGAAAGTACCACATATTAGTATGGGGCTATGTAAGCAAATGTGATGGTCCTGCCAATGTGCATTGAAAGCCATTGGAGACGTGCCCCGTGACAGCTTTGTCGTGCTATAGTACATGTTAGACAAGAGTTAGCAGATTATTCATAATATTGGACGGGCTAGTGGAAGCGTTTGACGCAAAGATACTGTAGGTTATGGATATTGACCTGTGTTTATTGGAGAGGCAGACTACCTACGGAGAGGAATAAGCAGTTTTTATTTACACACAGGCTAAACCTCAATAGCAAGCAGCTTCTCGAATCGAATGTCCAACCGGGCTTGGTTCGCGAGGGTCTCTCGCATCCCCGCGCAACCAATGTCGACGAACGGAATATCGTAGAATCGGTTTTCAGGAGTATAGACGGGCTCTCCGTCGAAACTTGAAGGATAGTATGCCGAGTAGCATTCGATCGTCCCAACCCGGCCGAGTGCATGGCATCTCTTTTGAAGCATATTGCATAACGACTCGACGTTTCTGATTTTTCGTTCTGAAGGGTTACAAGTTACAATTCCAGTATCCACAATTTTTGACAATTAGCTTCTCGAGATTAGGACATAGAAAAGCGTTAA